TAAATGATGATAGTTACATTTTAAAATTATTATTATTTAGCAAAAAACCCAGTGTTTTTAAGAAAGTAAGTTAATGAGAGCTACCATGATATTTTCTGCCACCAGGGCGGCACTACTTTCGAATGAGGTGAAATATTAGACAGAATTTATTCCGGAGAAGTTAATTTGTTTAAAAGAAGAAGAAAAGTTTAGAGTATAATGTTGCTTTCTGAAATATGAATTGTATTCTGTATTAATTATATTAGAAATGTATAAACCAAACTACGGATATTATCAAAAGTAGAAGAATTAAATAGTGTTTAAAATGTGTAAAAAATTAAAGAACACAGCACTTAGACATTGATTGTTTTGTCTATAAACATACTCTAGCAATCGAAAAACTTTTATTTTAAAGACAACTTTTCAATGATGATGACAATGCGTAACGAATAACTTCACTTTAGTCGCAACTAGCGACAAGTCGGCGTCCAAGCTAATGGCGACTGTTTAGAGTAATGGAGTGCTCTTTCTGCACCGCACATGTTGTGAGGCAAGCCCTGAAAGACACGGGGGTTCTCAGAGATTGACCGTCCGTATTACCCAGAACTAGCACCTGGCGATTTTTTCCTGTTTTCCAATTTGAAGAAGGAATTACGTGGCCGGAGATTTGCAGATGACAACGAAATGAAAGCTGCGGTTGATCGTCATTTTGAAAAGAAAGATACGGAATATTTTTGACTATGATGGAATACCTAAATTACGAGTAATAAAGGTCTTTAGTTCAGAAAGTCAGTCTCTAGAAAATGGTGAGCGTAGACTATAATAAACACAGCAGTATTAAACTGCTAATTCACAGTTTACCACTATACCTATTACCACTGTGCGAACGTGATCCTTTCCCAATCGATCCTATAAATTCATACTGCAGCCACAATATAACAGCAGCTTGGCTCTACTGTGTAAAAATCCGTTCCGAAATCAGCTTTATACTTATATTATAAAGCACCTTAAGTTAAACTTTATAATGATTTTTTATCCATCAACAAATTACAAAAGGCCTAAAAACATTAAGAACTGTTTTCCATTGTTGTTCCTAGTTTTCATCAGTAATAATCATAATTATGATACTAACGCGACCTAGGCGACCTAGATAAAAATCGCGATCAGACATTTAGTATAATCGTCTTCATTAGTAATGAATTGAACGATGTAATTTAGCGAATGAATGAAAGACAGATCATAAATACTCAGATTTAGAACATGCGGCCTTTCTTATAATTGTCGATTATCGCTTACTTAAATTAAGTATTATTTCCCAAGATATACGTATGTCTCTGTCTACAGTCATTTAGAGACAGTGAAGAAAGAGAGAAAGAGAGAGAGAGAGAGAGAGTAACTTTAAGAATTTTTGATAGGATAGGGTGAGAAACGAGCACACAGCCCACCTGATGGTGTTGCTGTAACCCATAGACATCTATATCTATCCTCAATAAATAATTAAACTGCAGATGCGTTGTCACTAGCGTGAGGACTAAGATGGAATGTATAAATAATCTCTTTTCCAGTAAAAAGGGTCTCCAGTTCTCTAAACTCACCATACGAAACGCAGCAGTGTTAAGCTGCTATTTGACGCTGGTATTCTGTGAGAGCGTGGTCCTTCCCCGGTCGAGCCGACCCATTCGTGCTACAACTATACTTCTAATATAGCTGCAGCATGGCTCTACTACGTATAAAATTTCTTAAATTAATGTCCGATTGGCCGATATCCGTAATAATTAATTCCTCAGTAATTGTTTTCTTTGTACCTGACTACGGTGGAACTCGAAATGAGGGTATTTTTGACTGACATGTAAATAAGTATACATTATGTTTGTACTATCCTCTCGTAGCTCCTATATTAGTCAATAAACTTTGACAAATAAGTCTCAATCGATTTGCCATAATGGAGTGTGTAACTTGTAACATAGAGCACATAACATAACACGTACAAACGCTTACATCTGTTACCTAAAAGAGTGGGCAGAGACTACGGACTTCCATTAGGAACGATCCTGACATACCTCTTATACTTCTTTTACATACATATAACCTACACATACACGCTCGTCGGTTAAAGATACTCATAATTTTACCCATCTTCGATATATCACTAATTTGTTTATAAACTTCATAATATAGACTTTATAAGTAATACGTTTAATAGTGTGTGATGTCATAAAATATGATGACCAATGAACTATCAAAACTTACGAGCTAAAAATAATAATAATAATAGTTTATTTTCACCACTTAGATAACTATCACATTTATAAATAACTATTTTATGGTCTATACTTAGTTTACAAAAATGATGGAACATCTGTGTTTGGACTAGATAAATATATATCTGTATTTCAGATCACAGTGCTCTTCTTATTACATACTAACAAACTAACATTAATATAATTTAAATAGATGGTATACAAAAAATAAAATGTGAAAATTAATGTTAACAAAATGTATTTTATATAAAAAGAAAAATGTTAAAGTGTGTATTAAAATGTATCTCTTTGTGCATAATATGTTGAATGCACGAGTGTGTGTAAGAGAGTGTCTATAAAATATAATGATATAAAATGACAAAAGAGGTGCGATACGACTACAGGCAAATTCTCTCTACAGCGGAAAATACTTATTTTTCATTAGTTAAATGCCACAAAATGCTACTGACATTTCTCTTGACAGATTTTAAGACAAAAAAAGAAAAGATGAACGTGATTACTCCTTGTTACAATAACTTTGTAAAGAAAATAATAAAAAAGTAATAACTTGAAAATATCGAAGCCCTCACTGGATTGCAGCAACACAAGGAGTACCGACTCAGGATTAATTCTAATTTAATTAATAGCTGAGTTACCATGTCGCTGATATTCTGTCGAGGCCACATTTTTTTTATAGGAAAGGGGGCGAACGAGCATGCGGCTCACCTGATGGTAAGTTACTACCGCCGCCCATGAACAACTGCAACACCAGGGGAACCAGGGAAAATGCAGATGCGTTGCCGGCCTCTTAAAAAGGAGTAGGCTCTTTTCTTGAATTTACCATTCTACCGTGTAATGGCGGTGTAAGAATATCCACTGCCCCATATCGTCCCGTGGGTGTCGTAAGAGACGACAGTGGGAAATTTAAACAGGCGATGGGCAGCAGCATCTTCCCGATAACAACCCTAAATAGTAAAAAAACTGCGGTTGCTAACCCGGCCCATAGATATCTACATCTATCCTCCATTACAAATCAAAATGCAGATGCGTTGTCACCCGTGAGGACTAAGATGGAATGCCTGATTTCCAGTAAAAAAGGTCTCCGGTTCTCTACACTCACCATACGAAACACAGAAGCGTTAAGCTGCTATTTTACGCTGGTATTCTGTGAGAGCGTGGTCCTTCCCCGGTCGTGCCGACACATTCGTGCTACAAATATACTACTAATATAGCATGGCTCTACCACATAAAAAAGAACGAAGAGAATAGTTTTCAAAGTTTGACTTTATAAACACTTGTACCATTTATTGATGAGTTGATTCAAGTATTGTAATTGCGGAAGTGAATTTTTTATTCAATTCTAAACCTTATTCTAATGATAGATTTGAATTCATCTTGCCCCGCCATAGCCAAGAATATTACACATTGTTCAGACGATGCATGTTAATTAGGTATTGCGTTTCCTTTGTATGTGGTAGAGCCACGCTGTAGCTATATTATAGTAATAGCACGAATAAGTTGGCTTAACCGGAGAAGGGCCACGCTCTCATAGAATATACGCATCATAGAATATCGCATAGCAACGCATCTGCAATTCCTCTGGTTCCCCTGGTGTTGCAGTTGTTCATGGGCGGCACTTACCATCAGGTGAGCCGCATGCTCGTTTGCTCCCTCTCCTATAAAAAAGGTGAAAAAGGCACTGCTGTATTTCTTATGGTGAGTGCAAAAAACCAAAGTCCCTTTTTACTGGAGATGAGGCATTCCATCTTAATCTACAGAGCTGACACCGCATCTACATGTTGATTCTTAATTAATGATAGGTTAAGATGTCTATGAACCACAGCATCCACTTAGCATCAGGTAGACTTTGTGTTTATTTGTAGTCCATATACTATAAAAAAATTGTATGCTACAGGCAATAACTTGTAGTCAGTAAATAAACCTTTTTACTCATGAATCATCACTTTCCTTTGATGATGTCATTAATACTTACAATTGTCAGACGAGACGTTGATTTTTCGATGCTCCAGTCCGCTGTTTTGTATAGTGTAGTGGCGGTGTAAAAATATCCACGACCCCATAACGTCCTGTGGGGGTCGTAGGAGGTGACAAAGGGAAACTAAAACAGAAGATGTTCAGTAGTATCTACCTTTTCTTTTATAGGATAGGGTGACAAACGAGCACACAGTCCACCTGATGGTAAGTGGTTGCTGTGGCCCATAGACATCTACATCTATCTTCGATTAAGAATCAAAATGCAGATGCGTTGTCACCCGTGAGGCCTAAGATGGAATGCCTCGTTTTCAGTAAAATGGATCTCCGGTTCTCTACACTCACCATACGAAACACAGCAGCATTATGCTGTTATTTTACGCTGGTATTCTGTGAGATTCTACCTAATAACAAAACAAAATAATAAAAAACTGTGATTGCCAACTCACATTCCGAGCATGGCAACTAATGAAATGGAAGAGGTTCCAGACCGATACGACTTCGGGTCCTTCAAGAAGAGGGTCTACTCCTTTTTAAGAGGCCGAAAACGCATCTGCAATTCCCCTGGTGTTGCGGTTGTTCATGGGCGGCGGTAGTCACTTACCATCAGGTGAGCCGCATGCTCGTTTGCCCCCTCTCCTATAAAAAGAGGCCTATGTTCAGCAGTGGACTTTTATATGCTATAATGGATGAATGGAAGGACTTCTTTTTTATTTTCTACTTTCTAGTGCGTTGGGTTATGACTAGTAAAATATTTTATTCATCCATTCGTTCAAAATTTATCTACAGAAATATTTTCAAGAAAATCGTCGGCTTTCCAAGGCAATAGTAGAGGCCCTGCAGGACTATCGCTTCGACGAGGAGTTGCTGTTCGACCTGAAGAAAGAAAACCAAGTCTACCTCAACCGTACCATGTCACTCATCATCAAGTATATAGTAAAGAGGTGAATAACTCAACAGATACGTGGATTTACGTCGTACAGCCATGCAGCAGCTATATTAGGTTGTAGCGCAAATGGGTCGGCTCGACCGGCAAAGGACTCTCTCACAGAATACCAGCGTAAAATAGCAGCTCAATGCTGCTGTGCTTCGTATGGTGAGTAAAGAACCGGAGATCCTTTTTACTGGAAACGGGGCATTCTATCTTAATCCGTCTTGATTCTTAATCACGAATAGATACAGATGTCTATGGGCCATAGCATACACTTACCATTAGTTGGACTGTGTGCTCGTTCGTCAACCATATTCTATAAAAAAATCATGATGAATAATGAACTGTTGACGTCTATTACCAGTTATTACCGACGATGCCAACCTGCTTGTCAAGTGTGAAAACTATGGCAAATCCCAATTCCAAATCCAAATTCCAATTCACAAAACACAATTGCATGCAGTTATTTCAATATTGCAATCAGACTCCAATTTTATTTATTTGTATAGATTAATAATTTTGAAGGAGGAGGTTCTCAATTCGATTGAATATTAATTTTTATTATTTTAAAGTATGTTACGCGGTATCTTTGCAGATTTTAATGACTCTTTTTGTATTAAACAGGCTTTACATCAATGGTGGTCTCATTAAATTTTGAAGAAAAACTTCTGCCCCCAAGGGTGGAAAATGTGGGAAAAATTTCATATTGGGCTATTGTTTAAGGAATTTCATATGATATCTTGGCAGATTGGGAACCGATTTTATATGAGGATATATCTAGAGCCATGTCTTCCTCCAAAACCCACTATACAGTGTTAATGCAAATTTAGGCACAAGAGAGAACGGTGAGCTGAAGGTAGGGAAATTCGGAATAGGGCAATGGAGCCCAAGGGACCAGCAGACTGGCCGACTTCTTGAAGAAAGAGGGACTCTTTAAAATGAACTCTTTATTCCAGAAGCGGCCCCACAGGAAGTGAACCTGGTTGAGCTCCGACGGTTCGACAAAAAATGAGATTGACTTCATTATGATGACTAGATGGCAACTGTTCAGTGATGTCTCAGTGATCGCGAGGGAGAAAACTGGTAGCGTTTACCGAATGGTTAGAGACACACTGAACCTAAACATTAAGTAGGAAAGGTGTCGCCTAACGAAGTGATCACATGCTTAATCTCATGGCTGTTAGACGGGAAATGAAGTTGCAGTCTTTAGTAGATTTGACAGCATACAGGCAACTGACAAGACAGATCTCCAAATGCATGCGGTGGGACTCACGAAACTTTAATACTGCTATTGTAGAAGCGATCGAGCGGAACCAGGGCTCCAAAGTCTTTGTTAGAGATCTGTCTGCCAGAAAGAGCTAAATGTCGAAGCTGACGTGTGGCAGCGTCGTTTCTGAGACACCTGAGACTTTGAGTGAGATTGAGAGTTTCTATGGTCAGCTGTACACATCATTGTTGGAGCCACACACAAGTGTGAGTAACGATCCAAGAGCAAGTCTTATCCGACACTATTCCGATGATATTCCGGACGTCAGTCTAAGTGAGATAAGAATGGCTCTCCAGAACCTTAAATCAGGGACCCCAAGCAAGGATGGAATTACAGCGAAGCTTCTGAAAGCGGGTGGAAAACCGGTACTTGAAGTCCTTCAGAAGCTCTTTAATTCCGTCCTCTATGGTGGCACTACACCGGTGGCGTGGAGGTGAAGTGCGGTGGTCTTGTTCTTCAAGAAAGGCGACAACGCTCTCTTGGAGAAATACAGACCAATTTCCATTCTGATCCTCGCCTTCGAGCTGTTTTCGAGAGTCATTACGAATCGTCTGGTATGCAGACTCGACGACTTTCAGCCTCCCGAACAAGTCAGTTTCCGAAAAGGATTTAGCACCATACACCACATACATACCCTTCGACAAATTGTACAGAAGTCCGAGGAGTACAATTTGCCACTATATCTGGCGTGTGTGGACTATGAGAAAGCCTTTGATTCCGTCGAAATTTCTGCGGTGCTGCAGTCCCTTCAGCGGTACTAAGTGGACTGTCGGTATAGCGAAGTGCTGAAGTGTTCGTACAGTAGAGATATGATGGCTATACGAGTATAGAACCAGAGTACGAAACCTATCCTAACCTGCAGAGAGGTGTAAGACAGGGTGACGTTATATCCCCGAAACTCTTTACAGCTGCATTGGAAGACGTTTTCAAGCTTCTGGACTGGAAAGGATACGGTATTAACAACAACGGCGAGTACATCACTTACCTTCGATTTGCCCATGATTAGTATAGTTCTCAATAATTTCAATAGTGCCTCCCTACGGATAGGTCTTAAGATGAACATAGACAAAACAAAGATCATGTATAACGTCCTTGTCCCAACACCAGCATGGTAGTTGTTGGGAGTACTAAGCTCGAAGTTGTGGATGAGTATGTTTTCCTGAGACAAATATATAAGATAGGTAAGTACAACTTCAACCGAGAGGTCAATTGACGGATTCAACTCGGCTGGGCAGCGTTCGGGAAATTACGGCAGATCTTCTCGTCCTCAAAACCTGAAAACAAGATTGAACAACCGGTGCGTGCTGCCAGTGATGACTTATGGATCTAAAACGTCCTTCACTGCTGGCCGGATGAGGAAGCTCAAGGTCGCTCAGCGAGCTATGGAGAGGGCTATGCTCGGAGTGTCCCTGCGTAATAAACTTGGAAATGAGAATATCCACAGTAGAACCAGAGTGACCGACATAGCCCAACGAATTAATAAGCTGAAGTGGCAATGGGTCGACCATATAGCTCGAAGAACCGACAACCAGTGCGGAAAAAAGATTCTCGAGTGGCGGCCTCGTACCGGCGGACGAAGTGTAGGACGTCCCCCCAGTAGATGGAGTGGCGACCTGGTAAGACATGCAGGAAGTCGATGGATGCAGGTTATTCAGGACCCTGCTTTGTGGCATTCCTTGGGGGAACCCTATGTTCAGCAGTGGACTTGTGAAGGGCTATAATGATGAGAACCGATTTTACATTTCACATAAATTTGTAGAAGAAAATTCACCCCTGAGGCTAGCAAATAAATAACTTATTTTTAGCAATTTGAAGTCGATTTTTACTTTTTGTTAAAACTTATAATTATTAGTACTTACTGTCTGAATATTTTTGACTCTGATTGTCTTTATTTCTTTGTAGGGAGGTTGACAATTACAGATCGCGTAGGACCGACGCCATCAGCCGCCGCATTTATTCGTCGCTTATTATGAAGCTGATCGATATTGCAAAGGTGTTTCTGTTTATTATTTTCTGATTGTGATTCTACGCGGGTACGTTATTTTAAATATTTCTTCATTAATCGCGCCGGGAACTAGTGAATTGCTATACAAACAATTATTATAGTAATTTTACTTTCATCATCATCATCATTACAGCCCTTCACAAGTCCACTGCTGAACATAGGCCTCCCCCAAAGAATGCCACAAATCACGGAAAAAAAATTAAAAATTAAATTTTACTTTACGATGGCGGATTTGAGTTACTCATAGAATACTATAATTGCATTATAATAAGCGTCTAAGTGACCTTTTCCCATGGTGTATTAACACCAGATTTCTGGATTTTACTGATATAAGTTAGATAGTTTTCAATGGGATAATTTGCACGCCGTGTTTAATCCTGCTGCGAATAAGACGCTATGACAATTATGTACAAAAACACCCCCATTATAGTATTCTATGGTTTTATTTGTGAGTGTACCTACACAATTCGCATATATGCATTGTTTAATTGCGTCAGCTCAAGAGTCAAAAATAAATTATATTATTAATTACGATTTTACGATGGGCTGACTAGAGCTACCTGTAGTTACTCACACTAATACGCGTGTTACTTTCTACACATTACAACTACAAGTAGGTTTCGCCCGTATCCATGAAATAAAACATGTTTATTATGGAGTGAAAAATAGCCCTATTATTTATAAATTACGTCTTGTAACTAAGGTGAGTGGGGGGAAGATGGAAAACGGGGTAACACAAAAAGGCTAAATTACATTTGATAAATTACACAAAATCTGTCTTTATTGATATAAAGACAGATTTTGTGTAATTTATCCAATGCTGGCAACATTCATAAGACCGCCATTTCGTTACGTCCCACACCTAAGTCGGTACTTATCGTTTTAAGGGATTGGTTGTGTGTTATAAGGGAATATCTACCCTGTGAATTTTACACGAGCAAGTCAAGTGTTTTAATCTTACCCCGAGTCGTGTAACTTCGTTTACGAGGTAGGTACGAGTTTTTTTTATTTGTATACATACTTATTATTTTTAATTGGTAGTTATGTTACTATGTCTAAATATCGCTACTGTTTTATTTTAGGATTTATTGTAACCTTCCGTCTTTACCCGCCAATAGTTAACGGGGTAAGATAAACATATAAAAGTTTCCATCTTGCCCCGTTTTCAAAAGTCATACAAATGGTCTCATGTTCTCAAACTGTACCTGAAAAATTGTTTTGTTTTGTTACAGTCATTATATAAATTGTCAGCGGCACAATTTCAGCTAATATTATCTAAAGGTATTTATTTTTATTTTTGTATATTATAAGAGAGGCAAAAAGAAAATTGGTCGAGCCGTTTCAGATATTAGCCGGAACAAAAAGACAGACAGACATTAATTGTAAAATAATTTATAGTACCGTGTATACATTCATAGGCATTTAGTAAAAATCGGTTTTTTAATATTAAAAACAGACTCCCATTTTTTTATTTGTATAGATTGAAGATAAATAATATTTTTTTTAGAAGTTTTTCTATGATTTTAGTTATGGCATTTTTCTAAGATCTTATTAATTGGTTACTTGTTTAATTTTCAAATATTTTTTTCTTTTGCGTTTTGTGCTAAATATCTTGTTGACGAAAATGGTAAAAGGTACATGTACGTAATTGTGTTTAAAATTATCTTGGCATTAACAATAAAAGATTTTATATGATTGATATCTTTCATTTTCTGTATAATCTTATCCAAGTAAAGTGAAAAGTTTGAGAACCTCTAGTACAATCTTTCCCCGGCGGGGCAAGATTGAAATATAAAAAACAAATAATTTGTGTTATCTTTGTTATTTGAAGGTATTTTGATATTATAGACAGTTCTGAAGTGTCAGGACAATTAAAATTGTAGCCTACTGACCGTCAATATAGTCTGAAATTAATTTGAATGATTTTAGAAACTACATTATTATTATTTTTTATTATTATAGTTTGTAATATTGTATATTTTAATATTAGAAAAGATAATAATATCAAAAATAAAAAAAAATTACGTTAAGTTAATATGTACTATTCTACAAGACGTCAAACACAACACTGCTCATCTCATCAAAAAACCGTTCGATCTTCCCCCCACTCACCCTATATCCTTTCTTTGTTTTTATATAATTATATTATTAATGTATCAATATTTGTTTACACTCCACAAATGTACACAAATAGTGACTATGTAAGAAAATCTCTGCCCCAAGTCACCACAAATATATATATATATATATATATATATATATATATATATATATATATATAATTGCTGGCCAGGCAGACGTTGTTCTGCCCTTTTCGACCACCTTTCATATAGAAAATCCTTAAATTCGTAATAAAAAAATATTGAGTGTCACTTATCAGGATAAAAACTATCCTATCTCTCAAGTTGGACCAAACTGCACACAGTGTGCAAAATTTCATTGAATTCAGTTCAGTAGTTTAGGAGTTTATTAGTAATATTTTGTTAGTGCTCGTTACCTGCAAGTTTACGAGTACATTGGTTATGAAAACAAAATCTATCATCTTATAATATTCCAAGTATCGAAAAAACTTTTGACAGGTTGATAAAAACATTATTAGTTTTGGAACGAAGTTCCTTATGGGACGGTACGAATTTGGCGGATGGGGGCCAGGTGAGAAAATGTAAGATTTTTCCGTCATGACCCCTTCTGACGTGATGTAGACGGCCTTGGTGGCTATAAGGAAGCAAGATGGAATAATATCCATCTCCCTCGTACTTTTTCTTATCTTGCTATGAAATAAATATTATTTTATATTAAATGACGCTTCACTTTAATAGACGCTAGTAATTCGATTATTTGTATATGTTATTCAATAATATAAATATACTACTAATAATAATATACTACGAAAGGAACTTCGATCCAACCGAGTATTCCACGACACTCAAGCATGTTTTTTTTTCTTTTAAATAAAATTAATTTCCCTTACAAGGACTTGCCGCGCAACACTAGCGCCGTCAACCGTATCGACACTGCACACAGGTACTACACGACCGTGGAGAATAACGACACGCACGACAAGATGGCCGACACGCAAGTTTTTCATGCGTGTGCGCGTCTTTACGACGTCATGTTTACGGTATGTTATTTAGTCAGAATTTAGGCTCATCATCATCCTGCAAATAACGCATCTCTGAATATAAGCATTTTCTGAAATGTTAGAGAAAATTAATCTTCATATTTGGCACTAGAATTTAGTGTCTAACACCATCGTTAATATTGTACTACGTCATAGTATTATGTCCTCCATAGTGGCACTATACTGGAGGCTCAGGGCAGAACGAGTGGTGGTTTTGTTCTTCAAGAAACCTGACATTGCTCTACTGACCGGTTTTCTTACTGAGCCTACGTGCTATTTTTGAGAGTCATTACGATTCATAGAGAGCCCAAGACGCACGCAGACTTAACGACTGTTAGACTTCCGAACAAACCGTTTTCCGAAAAGCAATTATTAGCATAGAAAACATACTATTCGCAAATTGTACAGAAGATCTAAGAGTACAATCAGTCACTTAGACTTGCGTATATTATAAAGTATGAGAAAGCTGTCGAAATTTTGGCGGTGCTGGAGCCCTTTCAGTGGTGCTAAATCGATTGTCGGTATATTGAGATGCTAGGTTCTAATGTTTTTTTTTTATCTATTATAAGCCAGTGCTTGGCTTTTATCCCACCTGATAGTAAGTGGTGATGCAGTCGAATATGGTGGAGCACACTGACTTCGCTTAATAAAAGCCTATTGACTGTTGCTTTGAAATCACGCATATTTTATCGGATGGTAAGACAGACGCTGGTAAATTATTCCACTCCTTTGCTATCCGCATTATGAATGACAAATAAACCCGTTTGAACCAAAACCCCAAGAAGACTCAATCATTGGACTTCACGTTTAATTTTATTTTTATCAGACACCGAGGATACTGGCGCAGTTGGGAAACTTGGAGGACATAACACCAAGATTGCTCACAAAACGTTTGATGGAAATGCAAATAAAGCCGGTGCATCTTGGTGTTGCTCTGCTCATACAAGTAACAATTAATGATTTCTTATATTTTATGCCATCACAAATTTAATAATTTTAGGATTTTACCGTATCAAAATTTAAACTTTTTAATTCCCGACATTTCGGGTGCTTTACAATTTTAAAAAGAGAAGTACACTCTTTTGCTTAGGGTGGGGGGTGGGGGGCGGGATTCACACTAACTGGTCTATTTTATTAGAATACATTTTAATAATATATGATTATCTCAGCTAATAGGTTAAACAATACATATTTTAAATTTTTAATTGTTTTGTATACTTTAACTTCTGGAATATTTTCATCAAAGGGTTTTTTTTAATACAATATGGGTGACAAACGAGCACACAGTCCACCTGATGGTAAGAGGTTACTGTGGCCCATAGACATCTACATATATCTTCGTTTGCGAATTAAAATGTAGATGCGTTGTCATCCGTGAGGAGTAAGATCGAATGCCTCGTTTCCAGTAAAATAGGTATCCGGTTCTCTACACTTATCATACGAAACACAGCAGCATTAAGCTGCTATTTTGCGCTGGTATTCTGTGAGAGCGTGGACCTTCCCCGGTCTAGCCGACCCGTTCGTGCTACAACTATACTATTAATATAGCTGCAGCATGGCTCTACCACGTATAGAATCGAGTTTCCCACGACTGTGGAATGAGCGACCAGTTTTAGCAGTTCCTTTCTTACAATTGCGCTAATAATTAACTTTATTTCTTTTTTTTTATAAAATGCATTAAGACTTCTATCAAAACTTAAACTAGAAAAAGTAAGATTAATTGAGAAATTTTCACTAACGTATATTATTTTAGTGTGGACTGAGAGACCACAGTTTATATACCTATTTGTTTCTTTTATCTTTAACACTTTGTGAGATGTTATTTTAAAATGAACTTTACAAATTCTTTACTAAATGTCTGTAATTAATTAAATTCGTTATTAAGATAGGTACTTTACGAGATCTGCCTGATAGACTGCGAGAACTGAGCGACCACAATTAAGCGCCGTATTTTTTTAAATTTCAGGATTCCTTCTACAATTATTGTTTAAAAATAATAAATTGCTAAGGATTTAGTAGTACGCCTACTAAATCTTTAACAATTTATTTCGCGAATCTCCAGCATGGTCCATCAGTGCTCACACACACGTGATCTCTTTGTTCCCAGGGGTTGTTATAAACAATGTATCCATTAATATTATAATATCCTTTTTCATACAGCCTTTGTTTAAGAATTTTTTTTACTTGATGATACTCTACAAAAGTGTTATGAAAAGTGTGTGTCGTTATGTGACACGACAAGTATTAAGTTAATTAGAGAAATAACAGACTAATAGTATTTAGTATGGAATTTAATATTAATAAATAGAATCAGGCGTTCATTTGCGCAAATCCATTATATTAAATATGTTAAAAATTGGTTAGCTAATATCCGCGTTGTAAAATAAAATGACGTGTCTTAAGTGTCTTGTGGGAAGAATACCTCTTGAAGGTAATCTGTGACGAGGATAATGCACGTAATTAACGGGGGCCGGGGAGGTGGTGTTCTTCAAATTAGGCAAGGTACATCATCCTTAACATTAAAGATGTAATGAATTATCGCAAAGAAACTCCTGATTCTATTTATTATCTTAAATATAGCATCCTTTGAATATTTCACTTGCAACCAAAATATATCGCGTCGCGTATCCTCCCAGTGGGAAGCGCAGCTTTACAAAAGTCCTGAAGATTTTGCAGTGCAGTATTTAATGTCTGTGTCGCATAACAGGAATTATATGGACGCTTAGCAAGTCGAAAAGGATCCCAGGTGATCATGAGTCCCGTTGCAGATCTATCATGTCTGCAGCGCATATAGGTCAGCTAGACCGGGAAAGGCCACGCTCGCTCAATTACTCACCAGCATAAAAAAGAGCATAATGCTGTTGTGTTTCGCATGGTGGGAGACGAGAATCAGAGATCTTTGTTACTGGTAACGGATTTCAAGTTACAACACATCTGCATTTTGATTATTAATCGAGAATAGATGTAGGTGTATACAGGCCACAGCACCCAATTACCATTGTGAGCTTTGTGCTCTTTTGTCACTCTTTCTTCTATAAAATAGCTGATAACAATAAACTTTTCAACAGTAGTCATTAATATAATTGTAATTACTCCTTTAATTTATTTTCCTCTTCAGTATCACCTCAGAAATACCATCAACTTCGCGATCCGATCGAAAGCGCTCGAAGTCCTCAGCACAAAACCGCAGAAGGTGGGCCCACACGTCATCGACATGCTGAAGGCGCTCGCTTCTCGTCTGTTGCCTGTCGCCGAACTGTTGGATATCCACCTGGCGCATTATAGTCCAGCTTTTAAGGACACCTGCCCTTCCACTTGGCTTGGAATTGTTAATAATAAACAGCCTTGATCAAATTTTTAGAAAAATTATTTCTACGTAGTTCACCTAACATGTCAAAAGGTAAATGTAGTGTTTACCTGACTGCGCAACGCAAAGGAGGGTAATGTGTTTATCAGCCTATATATGTATGTATATTTATTCCTTTGTGGCGTTCTAGACACCAAATGCGGTTTTTACAGTTGCAGCTATATTAGTAGTATAGTACAACTAGGTCGTAGGTGCTGTCAATCGTATGATCCGTAACGTTCAAAAATGTAATTACAATCATCAATACTTTGACGTGACCCGGGCCAAATGAACGAATCATTCACGATTGACACATGTCAAGTCCACGCGTTTTTTTATAGGATAGGGTGACAAACGAGCACACAGTCTACCTGATGGTAAGTCGTTGCTGTGAACCATAGACATCTACATCTATCCTCAATAAAGAATCAAAAAGCAGATGCGTTGTCACCCGCGAGGACTAAGATGGAATGCCTCTTTTCCAGTAAAAAGAGTCACTGATTGTCTACACTCACCATACGAAACACAGCAGTGTTAAGCTGCTATTTTAGGCTGGTATTCTGTGACAGCGTGGTCTTTCCCCGGTCGAGCCAACCCATCCGTGCTACAACTAAATAGCTGCAGCATAGTTCTACCACTCTAAAAACATAAAAAAGAAAGAGTAAAATATTTTATATTTACTTACATATTACTTAATTCTTAATTTTCTGAACCAACATGTTCCTTTTTCCTATAATTTTTCCGCAGAATTTGTAATTATCAAAGGATTTGTCGGCCAAATATAAATCGTACAAATAAGTGCTCCCATTTCACTAATCATCACTTAGTTACAAGCGCAATGTGTGTCCAATCCTTTATATTTAATGTTTCTGCGGATAGTGACTTGACTTTCTGGAAGAAGATATTTTTTTCCACCCGTGCAGTGATAAATCACTGAAAATTGTAATATTATTGAAATAATCTACTAAACATCCATTTTGTTATAAAACACTGCAAAGATTTTAGATTGCAGATAAAGCTTTTCACTTAGATATAGTGAATGAACTACCTTAACATCAATCAACGTAATAACTGCGGTGGAAATGACCTCATCTAGTTAAGTAACTTATCTTTCTATACAGGGTTATTTTGCAATACCGGCCAAATTTGCAGAGAAGGTACAGAATAAGTAATATAGGCAAATGGTGAAGAAAAATTAATTGAAAAAATCTCAAACGTTCTGTCCTTTTTATCTTTTAAATTCAAAATGCATGGTGATGCATTATTTTACCTGATTTTACCTCATACGCTTTTTTACACATTTTTACGTGGTAGAGCCATGCTTTTTTTTATAGGATAAGGGTGACAAACGAGCACACAGTCCACCTGATGCTAAGTGGTTGCTGCGGCCCATAGACATCTACATCTATCCTCGTTTGCGAATCAAAATGCAGATGCGTTGTCACCCGTGAGGACTAAGATGGAATGCCTCATTTCTAGTAAAAAGGGCCTCCGGCCACCTGCACTCACCATGCGAAACGCAGAGGTAAACCTCTACTTCACGTTGGTTTTCTGTGAGGTCGTGGTACCACCCCGGTTCGAGCCGGCCCATCCGTGCGACAGCAAAAGCTGCCGCGTGGCTCTACCACTGTTAAAATAGTGTAGTAAGTCAATAGTATAGTTTTAGCACGAATGGGTCGGCTCGACCGGGGAAGGACCACGCTCTCACAGAATACCAGCATAAGATAGCAGCTTAATGCTGCTGTGTTTCGTATGGTGAGTGTAGAGAACCGGAGACCCTTTTTACTGGAAAAGAGGCATTCCATCTTAGTCCTCACGGGTGACAACGCATCTGCATTTTGATTCGAAAACGAGGATAGATGTAGATGTCTATGGGCCACAGCAACCATCAGGTGGACTGTGTGCTCGTTTGTCACCCTTATTCTATAAAAAAAACACATTCGTAAGAGTCAATTGGTAGGCAAAAACGTTGTTCCCCATCACATTTAATTTGGCATAATTTCAAATAAAAGTGGAAGCCTTATTTACAAAAACTGGCTTCTAATAAGGTCAGAGGATTTTTTGCACACTATTAAGATATAAATAAGCATTTTTTTTTATTTTCGTTTGACTCTCAGTCCGGGTTAATCTTTGGAACGGCTGAACCGATTGTAATGAAACTTCACATAGAAAAAAATGCCAGGAGAGATCTAGGCTATATTTAGTCCGAAAAACTTGAAGATTTAAAAAAAGGACAATTCATTTAATTAATTGTTTTTGATTATAAACATCACATTAATATATTCTACCCAGGCGAAGCCGGGGTGGGTGGCTAATCATCGATAAATATCGTCTGATGATGATGATTTTGTTGTATTCTAAACAACTTTCATCAAATCGATTAAATCTTTTCGATTACTACTAAATGACAGAAGAAAAAATATTTGTATACTATGAATATATTTTCCAGGTCTGGGCTTCTGGGCTGGTTTACCTTCTCACTAAGATTTTCTCCTATATCGTGGGAACAGTCAACATACATAAAATACACAAGGACAAACATTCAGACCCGAAACAACTATTTGAAGGCCATACATATACTTGTTCCGTGCGGGATTCAATCCCGCGGCCCTTAGCTGTGCAACTCATTAATGTGTTTTAAATGCCTCCAGAATTTTAAACATTTCGTCCCGTAAATGTCTTAAGGAGCAACAAAAGGATATGCTAAAAAGATCTAATGACCCTACAGGGTTATTTTGCAATAACCAGCCAAATTTCCGGAGAAGGTTAAGAATAAGTAATATAAGCAAATGGTGAAGAAAAATTGTTTAAAAAAAATCACTCTGTAACTGACTGATTGAACTCTGTCCTTTTTATCCCTTAAATTCATTATGTGTGGTAATGTATTATTTTAACTGATTTTACTGCGCACGCATATATTCGTAAGGGTCGATCGGTATGCAAAAACTTTATTGCCAAAATCACATAAAATTTGGGATAAAAACAAATAAAATTAGACGCCTTATTTACTCGTATTTTCAAAAACTGCAATAACGGTATATCATTATTTACATATTTGAACTGAAGTTTAAAATTTTGCTATTCTTTGAAAAATAAAACCCTATGTAATCACTACGTTTATCAATTACTTTACATGACAATTTGTACAGTATCATCGAGTCATCAGCAAAGTCTGTATGAAAAGGGAATTATTATAATATTAATGGATGCATCGTTGATTTGCATTGAGGGACCATGCTAGGGATTCGCGAAATAAATTACTAAACTTTGATAGGCATACCACTAAATAACCGTCGTGTTCCATCCAACCGGTGATCCGACCGACACGTCTAGAAACTGCGATCGTCAACTTGCTAATCTTCCCTACAACCTGGAGATACCACCGCAAATTGTACTTACAAGAGAAGGGTCAAAGTCCAACGCTAAACGTTTGTTGCGGGCTGATAAAGAAAATGAAGAAAGGCGACAAAAATAAGATAAAGAGTAGTAACTACCCAGATGTACTCCTATATATGTTACAAAAACCCTGTGGTCCCCGTTAAGTGCAATATCAGAATCAGTATTCAAACACATAGAAATAACTTCACTTCAGAAAACTCGACCATAAATAATTTGAAATTGAAAATTTTCTACAACCGACTTCAATATCAATTGTTAAGTAAAAGCTTTTAGAAAAATTTACTTCGTAAGTATCAGCGTTATAAAATAAAATGATGTGTCTTACCTAGTATGAAGAGCACCTCCCGCCCTCCCTCAATTGCATGCACTATCCCCGTCACCACTAATCCCAGCACCGCTACTCCCAACACCACTACACTAGGCAAGACACACCACTGACGATAATACGACACGTGTTTCGCCTCTACACGACGCATCCTCAGGTGATATAGACTCTACGGTGGCTAACCGCTAAGAAGGTTAGCCACCGTAAATTTTTCTAAAAGCTTTTATATAATGGATTTCCGCAAAGTAACGCCTGATTCTATTAATTCAATTGTTAAGAATAACTCAAAAACTATTGGTCAGACCTTGATCAAATTTATATAGGAACACATGTGAAACACCAGCTTTCAAATAAAAAAATCATGGAAATCGGTTCACCCAGACAAAAGTTACGAGGTAACACACATAAAAAAAACAATCGAATTAAGTACCGTCTCCTTTTTGAAGTCGGTAGAAAGATTATATTTATACTTAATAAATTTTTTTTTCAGAGATTCTTTGTGGTTTTATCACCTCTGCACTGGCCGGGGTGTAAGAGATCAAAGATCTCGCTTTACAGATGCGCGTGTCAGGACGGGAACCAATGGGTTTTTCTTACATGTACATACATATTAAGGCTGCTTCGTTGGTCTACTGGTCGTAAACGCGACCGCTGATCATGAGGTCCCGGGTTCGAATCCCGGGTCGCGCCAAAATCAGTTATTTTGGTTTTTCTGCCAAGAAATTCTCAGTAGCAGCCTGGTATTATGAAATTGGCGTTATTTCACCCTCGGGCCTTAGAATGCATGCAAAGCCGTTGGTCCTGCGCCTGATCTCTTTCCGGTCGTGCCGAATTACCATCTCATAGGACTATGTGAGGGAGTGGAGAGTGCACCTGTGCTTACGCATACACTTGGGCACTAGATGGCTAGTCTCCGTTGAGCCTGGCCGCCGTTACCGAAATTCGGTCTGGAGGACATTATTCTATACAATGCAGTACTTTTCAACTTCTTTAAACCTTTGTAAATCTACTGAAATGCAATTATTAGGCAAGCGAATTTATAACACTATTTTTCTTTATCTTTTGAAAATTGAATTGGACAAGGGTCGTGCGAAGACCCATTTAAGAAGAAAGAAATGAGAATCGTAATAATTGGCACGATAAAGACGCTAAATAGCTTTAAAACGTGTATTTTGCAGAGGTTCCATAATAAAATCGTTTAAAACTTACATATATGATATTATCATATTAAAAGACTATTTTAGGGTCTTGTTTAGAGCACATTCCACAAATATGTTTT